TAAAGAATGAAACTATTTTGTCTCTCACTGCATCTTTCTTTTCTTACATATATCCATGTATAGATGATGCTCTCTACCAATGATAAATCAATGCATATCGTATATTTCTTCTGAATTTTCATTGAGAAGAGTTTTTATAAATTTATAGGAAGAGTAAAATTATAGAAATAACAATCTGATCATATAAAGATAGATAATCTTAATATACTTGTTTTGACTCTTTTTTAATAGATTCTTGAATGAATACTTTTTATTTATAACTCATTACATGCTTGTTTAGTCGTATACTCTAGTTAAGCACTTAATACTTAGTTATAGTCTTAATCTGATATTAATCATCTAATATAAAATATTATCAAACAAAAAATCAAAGAGAACTATCCAAAAGTGACAAGTTCAGCTAGAGAATGCAACTGATGAAGCATGCAATAAACTATGAACAAATGTTGAGAATGTGAGTTCCTCCTATACTCATCACACCGTCAATATGTACTTCAAAATCAGTTTTCTTGAAAGATAAATTAAAATATGAACTGGAAAGTTATCTATCATGCACATCTGAATTTTTACAGTAAAGATTAAAAAAAGAATGTTTTGATATTTTTTATTGATTCTCTAAGTATCTAATGTCAAAAATTACAGTAAACTAGAAAAATCCTCGATCAATTGTTCTTAAATATAGGAATTTAAAGTAACAATCTATAACATCTTATTTGTTTGTAGAAACGAAAAAACTAATTTATTTGCTTATTCCTCGGACGACGGCCAAAGATTTTGTCTTCATTCACATTGTTGACCTAATAATTGATTTCGTCTGCGACTGAAATCAAGAAAACGTGGATTTTATTCATGTTTTATTATATTTTAAATCAAAATTAACTTTAATAAATATCGAATCTTGAAGATGTGGTTGTATCCTACTCATATTCACACTCACCACATATCATTATCAACCTGAAACTGTGTAGTAATGTTGTACTAAGTATCTTTGATAATCTGCCAAAATTTCAAAGACCTTGCTTTTGTTGAATGGTAGAACAATGTATTTTAAAACTACTTCAGAACTTCTGGGACATCATTTTTATCAATTGTTCGCATCTTTTTCACTACGAAAAAAAGCTAGAAAATGGGCTACACATTATCAACAAAAATATCGTTCACACTATTTAGAAAAAAAAAAGATTTGAAGTTAAGTGATATTCCGTTAGTATAAAAATGAGAATGTTTATGTAAATGAATAAATTCGAATAAAAGATGTTCTTTAACAAAATATGGTAGAATTTTTACACCACGAAAAACAACACCATTAGAACAATTATGCATACTAATTATTTGATAGAAATGAAGAATGAATTTATGACAATGTTGTAAATGATACGCTATTCTAGGCAGTAACCGATAAGCATAGATTACTTCTATTGTAGCAATATGATCGATAAAAGTGGCTAACAAAGAATAACAACATTTTTTTACTTTTCAATCATATTCTATTACTATTACATTCGAGAGATCTTTCTATAATTAATCATCATAATAATAAACAAATGTAGATTGAAAGCTTTGAGCATGATAAAAAAAATGATTTCACAGAGAAATCGGCAATAAAAGACATTAGATCACAAAGAAAACAAACATGTGTTCATGCCAATTCGCTTTGCCTCATAAAGAGTATTATAAGAAAAACATTCACTCTAATTTTTTTTGAATAGATGACAAAAAACAGAAAGAAAAAAATGTCGAATGGGAAAAATATTAAAAATAGAAATATCGAAAACAAAAATATGAGATGAAGATGAGGATGAGAGAAACTTGTACTTGAATATACTCTCGTTTTTACCATTTCTATCCATCAACATTTCTATTATTATATTATTCTCGATATTTTTATTTTCGACATATTTCTCTTTCTCATACTATGTTTTTTCTCCATTGTGTTCAATCGTCCAAAATGTTATGGAATGAATCAGTGGTCAATATCGGTCACATAGACAATGACTGCTTAATCTATTGGTCATATTGATTCATTATACTTTTATATATTATATTCATTATGTATGTCATATATATGTATTCATAGTTCAATTTGTCAGTCAATGAAAATGAAGAATCCAACTTTATTTGAAGATTTATCGAATGAAGTATTATATGAAATCTTTGATTATTTAAATGCATTCGATGTATTCTTAACATTTACTTCTCTTAATGAACGTATTTCAACTATTCTAAAATATATTCGTCTTCATATAATTGTCGATTCGATGTATTATCGCTATCAAATTGAATTTCTGTCTCATCATCTGACATTTCATTCTCATCAAGTTAGTTCGTTGGATATATGTGATAAAATCTGTGGTCACATAAATATTATTGCGTACCTTTTTGACCGATATGAATTTTCTAATCTTCGTTCGTGCACATTTCGGTGTCTTGATGCATCATCCAAACTGGAAAATGTCATCAATCAATTAAAGAAACAAACTCAACTTGTATCGCTTCATATATTGGAATCCTACGATGCTAAAAATGATCACTTGTTGACCAGAAATCATGCACATCTGTTCAGTGAAATGGTTTTGTTAAACACACCATTATCACTTCGTTGTGCCACTCTTAGATTTCATTATGATTATCCTGAATTAATAACAAGTACAATTATAAATACAAATCTTACATATCTGAAATTATTCTTTTATGGAGCTTTTGATAAGATATCGATTTATTCTCTAATACCTGTTTTTCGTATTCACAAATCATTGCAACAACTAAATGTTATAATCAAAAGTTCAGAGATGTTACGATATATTACCAATATCAAGTAAGATTATTTAAAATAAATAAAATTATAAATCATCTGTTTATATAATATGAAAATAAATGGAATCAATCACTTTTTTTAGAGAATCAAACATAAAACGATGTACATTTTTGTTTTAGTATTCCAAATGCTCTATCTATAAACAAAGATGATTTACCTATAGTAGCATCATTAAAAAAATTCGATTTGCAAATATTGACACAGTTTGATATACATTCACTTAGTCTTATTCTTTATTGTATGCCTAATCTTCAGGATATTAATTTTACATTTATCACTGAATATTTTGATACACCATATATTGATGTCTTACTCAATGGAAATATTTGGCAACAAATATTGATAAGTCATGTGCCATATTTGAATACATTCAATATTCATATATCTCTTCTTACGAACGATGGATTATTCGATTTACAGTCGATTCTTGACTCGTTTCGATGTTTTCTCACACAATTTGATGGTTGGCATATGGCTATTAGTCGATTGGAAACCTTCCGATACTCCATACCATGTAAGTGAAAGAAATGTTATTATTTGTTTGATGAAGTTTTGACAATGAGAGTAGAATCAATAGAAAAGATATGCAAGATCTTTCTCAGCCTTGTCGGTTATTGCCAAAATTTAAAGAAAATGAGGTGTTTTTCTTTTATGCTAAAAGAAAATATTTAAAAAAAAGTCATTCTAAGAAATTAGAACTAAAGACTAGACATTATTCGTGGAATTTTTTTAAAATATTTTCGATACATCTTCAATATATGTTCTTTTTGATGAGGATAATTTTTCGGAAAGTACGAGATATAACTGCAAGTGACAAAAAAATAAGCACTTCTGTACTTCAGAGTTCCTTGTCATTCTTAAAATATTCCTGAAAATTCCAGCATGGTCGTTCCTTTCTTGATATGTAACCCGAAAATAGCTATGCAAATGTCGTGCTAATATAGACAAAAAGCATATCAGTTGATAGAACTGGACATGATGAATCTAATGATATAAGTTTGAACAAGAAAGTATTCAATATTTTGTTTGAAAATGCGTTTTTTTTCATCAATCTCATGTATTTTAATTGGAGTGATATTATTATGAAGAGAGTAAATTGAGGAGAAAGTTGAAGTAGATTTTTGTGTTTCAACTATTACTCATTGAAATCATATCACGTTTTCATGAGATCTAATTTGTTATCAAGAAATGAGCTGTAACGTATTCAGAGAAGCTAAGCAATTGAAGTTTTTTTTTTTAAGTTGAAAATACTGATAGATTTTAAATTAGTGATTCTATGTTTAGATAAACGGATTGTTTTGCGCACACTGAACTACCAACATTCCGTAGCACGATATAAATATTTCGAAATACCAGATATATGTTGTAGTACATTCGAAATGATATCAACAGATTCATCAGATGCGAATGATCATCGCTTTCAATCTCACATAAACTCGATAGAACTTTTTATGCCAAGATATATGGAAAGACAAGCCATTCAATTATCTTCAAATATTCCATTTAGAAAGATTTATTCGCTTGTGATAAATTTCATGGAACATTTATCAATAACTTCGTTTGTAGAGAATGTATTTACATTTAGTGAGTAATCATGTGTCATTGAATTGATTGTATTTCCATTTACTTTGTTTAGTTTATAGATATTTTTACACAAATGAATCACGTCAATATATTAATAATCTTTCATCTCTTATTGATTTATCAAGTATTGTTACTTTGAAATTTCGAGACGAACATGATTTAAGACAATTACATATTGTGCCGTATATTTTACTGTAAGTTTTTTAATTATTTGGGGAAATTTTAAATAAACATGTTAGTTCAACGATTTCGTAGAAAATTATTTAGAGAACTACTAGACTATAGTTAATATCTCATCGATTTGGCATAATCATTTTTTTTGTCTGACTATTTATTTTTTCAATTCGTCCTCTTATAATAGATTTAGGAAAAGCATATAGAAAATAGTTTCATCGTTATGTTCTTACGATAACAGTAATCAATATTGATTGGAAGTAGATAAAAGTCTGAAAAGTTAGCGTAGGAAAAATCGATTATCTCAAGAATAAAAAAAATACTTCGAATTGATCAAAAGTTCTGATCACGATGACTTGTCTCTCTTCTTGCACAATCGACTGAGAACTTGTGGTTAACTCTTAATTGAAAATTAAATTCTCTACAATATCTACTATAAATAAAATTTTTGAAATCCTAATAAGTTGACCAAAAATTTAAAAGAACGACAATAACTATTAAAA